AGGGAAAGAATTTGGACTGTTTATGAGGAATAAAGCTGGTGAATGATAAACGGACAATAATAACGTGGTGATGGAAGCTAATTGTAGCTGCTATTTATGTAGTGACCAGGGAGAAAGAAAATCAAATGGAGACATTTAAGGACTGAAGTTAGTCCTAAACTAACAGTATTTTGGTAGAAATAACAATCGTAGCAACATGATTCCTTTCATAAAATAAAAAATAGCAACCCCTATAGGTTAACTAGAACAAGTTCAACAAATAAAATTGTAAAACCTGGTGTTTTAGATGGATAATGGAAATGACAGATTTTAGATCGGGGAAATTACATGCCCATTTTGCGAGTTGCTCGAAATACGGTAAATGGGGGGAAGTTCTGTAAAACATACAACTTTCACCACTCTGAAGATGTGTAAAAGATAGAAAATAAAATCAACCGCTGGTATTTCTAGTTTTCACCACTTTCTAAAACGGAGAGGCATCTTGATTAGTAACTAGAACCTCCAACTTCGATGCACATCATTAATTAACCATTTTATCCCTTGAGGGAAACATGAAGATGTCAGTAAAGCTAACAGTTATACTATAAGACACAGGTATAAGCATTACATTTCTTTAATAAATAACCTCAGGACGTTTATATGGGAACTTATGTGCGCGACATCACAAATCTAAAATAGCGCATGGTAGATGTGATAGATTATGTGTAAACCATATAACATACAGGTATTTCAGTAACTAAAACTCCAGTGCGATATCTGTATATAAGTTGTTGAAGTGGTTCACTTTATTGAACTTATACAACTACAGACATTTACTATTGACCTAGTATATTTTTGTATTTAAAAATGAACAGACTGCATGAGAAAGACTTGATAAATATTAAAACGGAGAAGCACTTAACTGTTTCTCCAAGAAATAATGACAGACTAAACACTTTTAGGGGCGAAAGTATTAAGCAAACAACTAGGCTTCAAAAAATTTGGAGATGAGACGAATAATTGAGCTTTTTCACTCTACTGATGTCCAACTAAAATATTTACAGCATAATATATTGACTAGAATACACAGCTAGTAAAGACATCCTAGTCACATGTTATCTGACCCATAAACTTTAGCATGAATCGCAAAAAGCAATTCAGTCCATTAATTACATCCTGACCTTTTATATAATACACGTGATTAAATTGACATATCAGTTTAAAAATATTTTCTACAACCAGAAAACCCATCAGAGAGTTAAAGACGTAAGGTTGTGAAACTTAGTGGAGAAAATGACTAAGAAATCCTAACTGTAGATTTATACTTATAACAAGAAAGTGACATTGCTTAACATTTTTGTTAAACATTATGCAAAAGTACTCAACACAAAAACATTCGAGACTGAAAATCGTACTTAGAAAACAAACATCACAAATAAGCGACCAAGTGTATAAAATAGAATAGATATAATGGATTTATAACGACTAATTAATCATTCATGAACATTGAATTAACAAAGGTACATTAAGGAAATCAAGTATTTAACAACATTCTTAGTTCCTGTGTACTTTCATGTTCCCACACCTCTCCCCTTGATCCTTTATCAAACAATCCGTCAGTAACTTAGAGACAAACCACCTAATTAATATGTGATTCTTTTGGTTTGTATTCTGCTCACGTTTTACAGGAGCTGTGTCCGAACTAATTGCACTCATGCTTTAATTTGTAACTTCATTCACATAAATTAAACTGACCACATCTCGCACTACAGTGACGGATAGACCATCAATTTATGTCGAATCTTGCTTTTTATAACCGATATTATGGTCAATAACATTAGTTATAACCATCAAAAGTAATTGGTTAGAAATACTGGGAGGAAGAAACACTAACACTACCTAAACAATATTAGTGTTAAACTTCTCTCCCTGTTGAATAAATAAAATTTAGTGTGGGTTTCATTGATGATATTGAACCAAAGATAAAGAGGACAAACTAGTTAGTGAAACTATAAAGCTCTATCGAATGGAGTGGCTGAAATGTTTGATGCATACCCAACCACCAGTGTGTTGTGTTGGATAGCATAAGAGCACATCACAAGAAATCTTAAGGTGAGACCAAGATATGGGATCAGTTAAGTAAATTATCAACCTTTGAATTCTCCAGGTCTTTAAAAGTAAGACTTATCAAAACGCAGAGGTGAGAAGTTACCGGAAAATGTTTGCAGCTATATATTTAATTTTCTACAAACTCAGCCATCATTTCGAGAGCTATAACTAACAAATCTAAAAGCTCTTAAGAAAGAGATATTTTAAGTCTACATTCATAAGCACTGACCACTATGGCATATGTTTCACTTGTTCTACTTCGAGAGTCAATATTCTACAAGACAAATGCCTGAATGTCGTAAGGAAAAATTGATACGATCATCAACTCTAAATGGATTACTTTGGTATTCCTTTACAACATAATGGAAAGCTATTTATTACGAAGGCTTCTTATTCAAATCGCATAGTGATTACAATCCAGATTAGCACATATTTAACACCGTTTGGTTTGCGACTAAGTTTTGGTACACATGGTGTCGTTTGATGAAGACACTTACAAAACCCAGTCATCCTAAAGCATCAGGTAACTATGGAGATTTTACAGATGTACTTCGCTCCCCATAAATCGCAGTTATCGCTTTAAAACTAGTTTGCGCCAACTAATGATTGAGTATGGGGTGGTTGAGCTAGCCGACTACGTCATCTTGGAAATACTATCAATTGTGATCGGTGTGTCTGATGAAATATCACCACCGATTTCGAAAGGTAGCTCGAATTTTGACACACTTTATCACGTGAGGCGTAGGCAAGATATTCCTCACTTAATTAATGGTCGAATATACTCCGTAGCAGTTGGGTTTTTTTCCATGTTATGACTGCGAAACAGGTTTTTAAAGTGAAAGCTATTTAATCAGACACCTTTGAAGCAATCCTCGCGTACATCGGGACTGACAAATGGACAATGATAAGGTTAGAAGCTCAGTACTGCGTAAAAACGGCAAACAGACTTGAGGTAGTTAGTCTTCATCAACTGAAGTGGTTAGGACATGTGCTACTTATGCCCCATCATCTCTTACCTTGACGTACTATGTTTACTGGTGTCAGTTGGAAGAAAGTTAGGAGCAGCCAGATAAAGACGTGGCATCAGTGAGCGACTATTGGATTGGGCAGTAGTGATGAACCCAGACTACTTGTTTAGGGTGTGTGAATACCAAAAACAAGAGTTGGAGACATCAGATAATATGGTTCAAAATTGTTCGCAGTGGTGCATACGTATTTACCCCTGGTTTTTCCTTTAGAACGTGATTTCTAAAAGTAGCTTTACTTTTAATGCTGCAGATTCTTTTGAAATCCCATGTTTCATCATTAGTCATTTCTGTTACAAATGATACTGCTACAACTTTTAGTGCAATTTTAGTAATCACATATCTCTGTGGTATTATGGTGTGACAACTTGAACCGATGCATATATGTAGCAAGTTGTTTTATGAATGACAATCTAAGAACAGTTACACGTTTAAACAAAGCAATTAGAATCGCTAATGATATCTACTTTCACAACAAAATAGAGAAAATCTTTACGATTAGAGACTAAACTAATATACTCAGCGACTGGTTATTATACAAAAATAACCATGAACCAACCTATGCGCGAGGAACTACATAAAAGTGATAAATTACCAGACGGATTGTTCAAATTATTGGCTTTTAATGTCTAACCAACCGGGTTAACGAATTCAAATTGCGTGAAATTTCGATGAAGCTCCAATAGTTAAAATTAGTCAAATCACAGCTATAGGAGGTTATCTTCAATCACAAACTTGTCGAGACAAGAGCAGAAATTAAACTGATCTATTGTGTTGGGTCGCATGTTATTTAGCGTACCTTTATCAGGCAACAGCATATGACCAATCACAAAGGTATCAGTATTATGACAGTAACGGTAGGTTGACAAAAGATATAACTGCCTTATATCAGGTCTGAATTTTGATTTAATCGCAGTATTGTAACGTCTAGATGTGAATACAAAAGCTAAATAACCATCTTTTTGGATAACCCTTAGTTTAACATAGCATGTCGAGTCAGATAAGCAGTAGTTATTGGTCGACTCAATATCAATTTATTTGATATAACTATTTACAGCAAACTGACTACAGTGCATCAAGTGGCCAATGAGAGAGACCAATACAAGTGAAAGTTAGGTAACAACGGTGTTACACAGAGGTCACCTTACAGCCAAAACCGGGATTCTCCTTGGTTTTAAACACTAAGAGTTTTGGGGACTTTTACTTTTTCAACAAAACAAGAACATTTGCGGGATACAGTAAACTAATTGTATTTCGTTGCTTCCTGTGCAGTTACATGAAAGTTAATAAGTTTAATAACTTCCACATAGTAACATGATGTTACATTCGTAATACTGAGTTAAACTCATAAGCATGTGTAGCTGAAAAGAAAACAGTGAATAACAAAGAATTCACCGTATTCTGCATACATTATTCATCTTGCTTAGTTAGAATTTGTGAGGGGAACTGCATGATAATTCTATCCTTACAGGACTTTCAAATGTAACGCATTATGTACGGTTGATATTTTTCCGTACGTAGCCAATTATGATAAACTAACTTGCAGCACCCGGATCTATTCAGTGATAATTAGCATAAACTATTGTTAATTATGAAGTGAATATAATCTCAAGTTTTGTGATAAACTCTTGGAAAATTGAGTAATATCAGTTAGGAATCGAAATGAAAGTCAAATCAAATGAACGTTAAATTTACTGCAAAGCGAGCCCCAACGTTGAGAAATGACGTACAACTAAAGTGGCTCAGTCGTGATAGAAATCATTACGGTAGTACTTCAATACATTATTAACCAATCTAAAGCTAGTATTAATACAAACATGTTTATGTCAGACGGTAATTAAGCATATGTTAACAAAGGTGGAAACAAGAACATATATATTTACTTACGGAAGTTAAATCTGATATACTGTGTACCTCCGGACTCAGATGTGAAGTTTGAGGACTAGTTGCGTCAACTGAAGCACCTTGTTGCCTGAGCATATTAACCCAGTTTGGTCCGGACTTGTCAAAACTCTGGTACTGATGACATCCTGGGTCACCAAAACCTTCATGTGTGCGATGGTGATCTGCAACAACCCCTTCATCAAATTCCTCATCCATATCACCCAATGGTGTAATCATCGAATTGGCAAATTTGAAAAGTCTGATTCAAATGGGTTTACGAAAAATAAGCTGTACAATATCACAATAAATTACAATGAATATCTTTGACACATGACAAGAAATCACATAAGTTCGTTAGTCAATTGCAACTGAACACGTAAGCTAATTATTTTTTCAACGAGTCCATTTTACCTGACATGATCACTAGTTCATTAGTCACTAAAAAGCAAAACACTAGCACAATAGCGAAAATACATAAAATAAGAATATCTTATGCAGCTCTCAACCAAACCATTCAAACCCCGCAGCTATCCACCCAAGTGGAGCGCACACCAATCAAGAAATCGCGAAATCAGTTCAAACTTCAAACCTATATATAAACAGGAAAAACATAAACCTGTGAACTACCGACCTGTAAGCATAACTAGCATGGTTGTTAAAATTTTAGAACATATTATTCGGAAGGAGCTGTTCAAGTATCTCGATGAAAACCAGATTCTATAGGAAAACCAGAACGGATTCAGAGTAGGTTATTCCTGTCTCACTAACATGTTAGTGGCTTGTGAAAGCTGGTGCGCTCCTAATGACCAAAATTTACCTCTAGAGATAGCCTATATGGACTTCGGAGAAGCTTTTGACAATGTTTCGCACAACCGTCTGGATATCAAATCACCTCTATTCCGTCGACACCCATTTGAACCATTTGAACCATTTGAGCCGGCTGTTACGTAAGTTAAGAAATGTCGGCAATCTATTAATATGGTTAAAGTTCTTCCTGGCCGTGCGCCAACAAAGAGTACGGGTGAACTCAAAGTTTTCCAGGTGGGAAACTCTGGTTAGTGGAGTGCCTCAGGATACAGTTTTGGGGCTAGTATTATTGCTCTTATACGTAAATGACCTTCCTCGTCTTCTATGCTCACGATGTCAAGATATGGAGAGCGATTAGGAGCAAGGGTGATAGTGAAGATAACCAGCAACACCCACTCCGAATCGTGTCCACCTAGTGAAATCAAAAGTCAAAAGCGAGGAGGATCGAAGATATATTCTGATAGGCTATCAATACATCGGGAATCAACTGATCTAAACTGGCTAGCGACTGCAGGGGAAGTTGAGCACGGCGTTCCCACTCGGGATTTGGTGCGGAGGCATGATCGAGCAACCTCAGATAGGTGAGTTCATTTACATTAAAGCATATAAAAATTGGTTGTTTTTTTATATCTTATATGATACAAAGAAAAATCGAGATGAAACAAAATGCTTATTAGTGTCGTATGTTCAATAATTCTTTAAATGTTCTGGAGACCTTACTCTTCTCCCAGAACGCGTTGTTTTGGGTTTGTTTTCCGATACTTTCAAAGTATCATGGTGAGTAATGGCTATCGGGTGAGGTATCGTAAGTGTAGTACTGTAGTGGCATTGGACAATAGCCACACAATCCACAAAGCTATGAACACGAGACTACTCAGAAAATAAATATTCAATATTTAACGCCGAGAAATACCTAACAATGGAGAAGGCGCGAACAATGAATTGATTGGACTGGAGTTGATCTAGTGGCATGGCTCGTCCATGCAGGCGTAGTCCATCTCAGTGTTACTTTATATCTTCTATTCATATTAAATATATTGTTCTTTCTCTAGCCTAACCTTGTTCCTCATCATGTATTGGTAATTGATACGATACAGTGAGTTGGTGTAGTCGATGGTGTGACTTCCACGTAAGATCTTATAGATTAGGCAGTTATATCATGACAAATCGACAAGTTTAGGATTAGTTTTATTATTAGAGCAGTACTAATATCATAGTAGACCATAGTTCTACATTGGTGAGCCCGACTAGAGAAACGCAACCTATTATTGTTAATCTTATTTCCATTCTAAATTTCTTGATCTATTTTGTATTTATGTTAACCCAATATTCTAACAGTCCTGTATAATGCTCGCATGTATTATCGTAATGTTATATTGATTAGTTCTCACGACATAGTAGCTCAATCGATAATAAAAACTGGTCGTCTATATTAACTAATTAGCTTTGATGGTTCGTTGACAAGCTTTAATAGCATTTACATGCTTCAGCGACATAGACTTGTTTAAGCATCAAGCTCTAGCAAATATGACCTGTAAATGACGCAAATATACATTGACTGACAATGCAGCAAGGACTAAATAGTTACCTAGATCTAATATTCAGTGTTCCTTATCTTATCACCTCATCCTGTTTTAAACTATGCACTATCCTGTAATATCTTTTCTTCCGACCACTGCCTGCCTAATTTCAAATTCTCGAGTTCCATTGCCAAACAACAAGGATGACACTTCTCTAAAAACATACGATGGCTCGTTCAATGGTGACCGCACAATTATCTGGATTCATTCGGTTGTTCTGATCCGAGTGAGTGGCAAGAACGTCAACAGCATCAAGCACCCTGGAATTAATTGCCATACTGCATGTTTTACTCTGGATACTTTTGGATCATTACTACTCCTCACGAATGGCGTTATATATGTCGTCCACTGAATAATCTAATTTTCAAAAATAACCCAGGCGAGTTCAACCATTTTACTTAATGATTTTTTTTACTTAACATGTATATGTTTATAACGCATCATATTCGTGCCTGAAGTTTCACAAGGAGTCTAAACGTTAAAATTTTTTTCTGGTCATGTTCATTATTTTTAAATCGTCATATACGTCAACAACCTGCATGTTAACCTGGCCCATACATACGTTACACTATATCTCCATGTCTTCTAAATTTAGAAATCATCTGGATCGCCTTTAACATTTATCAATAAACCCATCATAGTCGTTGTTGCTAATCGTATTTGGGTTTATGGATTATTTTATCATATTAGCAGCCTAAAATGCGAACATAGTTTAGATAATAAGATTAAAAATTTAGGTACTATCAACTGCACTAGTAAAATAACTAAATCATAAGTAGCTGTTGGCTAAACAAACGTTTAAAATCAAAACTCCGTAGCCTACTAGAATTAACACTAAACGAATATTTCTGAATTGAAATTTATAATTAAATTAGGCGTCTCGGATTCTTTAACGTTATAAATTTCTGATGATTTCGAATCACCTAAAGCAACAATACCTATTTTTCCACTGACTAATCCTCAATCAACACTATAACTAGTTAAATTTAATAGTTTCAGGATATCGTCATAAAGCATTGTCATAACTTGACAATCACGTAATATGACTGATAAAATTAATGAAACTATTAACGAAATCGGTCAACAAATTGACTTATAATTACCATTAAATGGTGTTGTTTTCTTGGTATCTTCATCCATCACAGATGATTACAGTATGTTTCTCTATCAGTTGCTCATTCAGTAAATATCTCAAAACCTTGTCAGTCTAATTGATGGTTTAGCGACACAATCATGCATGCAAATAATCAGTATAAGCAGTCGAGCAAATCTCCTGCAAACTGAAAACATCAATGTCGAATTTACCCCAACACTGACTAAGGTTCAAGCCATTATCATAGACATGAGTTGGGAGTGTACTCCCCTGGTTACAACTTATGTTCTCCCTGATAATCACATGAGCATCACTCACTATTAATCATCTTGTAAAAACTTATTTAGCTAAATACATCTTGCAGCACCACATCACTTCGTAATATGACACAGGTCTAACTGATTTTAATAACTTATAACCACTATATCTCAATTAAATCGTATTCCGCCTTATGATAAACTGCATACTTGCAACTAACTTGTATGCCCAATCAGCCGGCAAGTATAAATATAAATAAATAGTCTGCCACAGATCAGAACATTGAGTCTAGAGCATGTCTCTTACGAATACACTCATGTTTAACGATTTGTTCCTAGCTATCTGTCCAAAATTCATATAATTATCACTCACGTATTTAAATTTTATTTTGATAACCATTCATGTGTATTAGTAGTATTACTAAATTCTATCACGGTCAAGTAAAAATGAGGTTGAGAAAATCTCCCCGTAACTAAATAAACCGTATCAAACTAACTGGAACACTAGTTGGAATTCTTCTCCACGGTATACTTTTGTTCCTTCAGTTAGCCTACTAATACAGATGCAATTGGAAATCAACTCATATGGACAACTTACCGGCATAATCGTTATTTGATTTCATAATTTAAACCAAAACTAATACCAATATTAACATTTCTACAATATTCATTACTTTAATATTTCTAAACACAAAATAATTACTACCTATAAGTTAAGTTATTAACACGCATTGTTTTATTATTATTATTATTGTAACCCCATTTTTTATAGCTCAAATAATCTTCACCCAAATTTTCATTTCAAGCGTTTTAAGCATGAAGGCAGATATTTTAAAATTATTACATGTATTTCCCGACCAGATGCTGCCGCTTTCTTTTTGATTTATCTTTCAGCTTACCAATACCCGGAGGATTCTTATTATCCTTGGTAACCTCCGGCGCGCGACGATCCCATCCAATTTGGTATCGAACCAACATCACGTTGATTCTGGTGGGAGAGTAGTGTAGTGGCATTGGACAATAGCCACACAATCCACAAAGCTGTGAACACGAGACTACTCAGAAAATAGATATTCAATATTTAACGCGGAGAAATACCTAACAATGGAGAAGGCGCGAACAATGAATTGATTGGACTGGAGTTGATCTAGTGGCATGGCTCGTCCATGCAGGCGTAGTCCATCTCAGTGTTACTTTATATCTTCTATTCATATTAAATATATTGTTCTTTCTCTAGCCTAACCTTGTTCCTCATCATGTATTGGTAATTGATACGATACAGTGAGTTGGTGTAGTCGATGGTGTGACTTCCACGTAAGATCTTATAGATTAGGCAGTTATATCATGACAAATCGACAAGTTTAGGATTAGTTTTATTATTAGAGCAGTACTAATATCATAGTAGACCATAGTTCTACATTGGTGAGCCCGACTAGAGAAACGCAACCTATTATTGTTAATCTTATTTCCATTCTAAATTTCTTGATCTATTTTGTATTT